ATAAAACTGAGTGTCTAATACAATATGAAACAAGTATTCCAGAAAAGAACATTACTACAACACTGCCACATCTTGCATTATGCATTTTCTGAGAATATGTAGCACCTACATTATCAAATTTCATATCAGTATCCCAAATGAAAAGCTAATAGAGTTGAACTTAAGTTCACATGGCCCCAGCTTTGGGTATCAGCACAAAGAATCTCTCCAGTTTTTTTTTTATTTTTTGTAGCATTACGGATGTAACCCAGGGCCTTGCACATGCTAGGAAAGCATTATCCCTCTAAGCTATATCCCCAGCTTTTAAAAACTAATATACCTTGAGCAGGGAGATGTCAATTCTTTTTTAAAACAGCTGTCTCTAATATTGATAATACTTCCAATATTTCTTAGAAAAACTTATCATTTTTGAACTTGCTGTTACATGATTAAAAGGGTTACTATGTTAAAAAGCCTTTATTGCTTCGTATTAGAAATAAGAAGTGCTGGCAGGAGTATTCCAAGTTCTGGGTCAGCACAGGCAAATTAGTGAGACCCTGTTACAAACCAAAAAAATAAACACGCCCCCCACAAAACAAAACAAAACAAAATCATGGGCTGGGTTTGTAGTTCAGAGGTAGAAAGCCCCTGGATTCAATCTCCATACACCCACCCACTAGCAATGGGAAAATAGAAACAGAAAAGTGTTATCGTACTTATTTGCTAGAAACTTCCATGTGGACATTTCTGAAATTTTACCATGCTTCACAAATCTCAACCTTTAAAATGTCCTAAAATGCTTATTTTCTTCTGAAATATGATTTATTCCTATAGCCATCCTATATAGAATACCAAGGACCTTGATTTTCCCAGACAGAATTAATCATTCTTTCTCCTTTGCATTCACAGCACTCTATTTCACATACCCACTGTGGAAACTACGCAGTTTCTACATTACAACAGTTTCAGAACCTCCAGGACCAAGATTAAGTTTTGTATCATTAGAACCTAGCATCATGTCTATAATGTGTACAGAATAAATTTATACAATGAACAAATAAATGTGTTATCTTACCTCTGCAACTACTTTTTTAGAATCCTTTGGGACAGAGATGAGCCTTAAATTATTCTGTATTTCCCATAATATCTAACAGTGCTGGGAACCTTGTCAATATTCAATAAATATGCACTGATTTATTTGC